ACAGAAAAAACATACAAGATCACAGTCTTTATTTCATCTTCCCATTTGAGGCTGCTGGCAACCTGACAATGAGGAGGCTCGTCACGGCGATTGGCGAGCCGAGTTTTCGCGTTTGAGTCAAGCTTCTCGCCCACCACCACCATAGCCACACCATCCCCTCCCGTTGCACCCTTTTTTCATACTCACCGCGGCTTTGTGTCCGCCGGTCGCCAACGGCCAACCGCCGACGTGTCACCGACGGCGTAGACGTTGACCGAACCGGCGAACGGACAACCAAAATGGCCAACAGTTATCCTCGCTTTGTGCAGAACAGTCTCTACTATACTGTACTTGTCTGTTTGCGTGTGTGTGTGTGTGTGTGTGTGTGTGTTTGTATGAATATTTGGCTTATTCGACTTAGATTGCAGTCTGATGTGCAATTGTACACACATACACAGTGGTTGTCAGACACGTCGCGAGCTGCACGCAAGACGAACGTGTCGAATTGGTCGGAAGGGGAGTGGGGCCAGATTTCACTTTTAGCCTCTCCGACAGACACCCTTTCGCGGTTCAGGCTGCCTCGACGGGATTCGAGCGCGTAACACTGAAGCCCGCCAACAGCTGATTAACACAAATAAAGACGATCGTGGCCCACGCTGCGGATACCTTTTGGGGGAGAAGACAAAAACACCCAACCATCACAGCTTCATCACACTTTGTCTGTCTGTTTGCATGTCTGTCTGTCGTTCAGAGTGGCCACATGTGATGTTGCTCTCTCAAAGGAATGCAGTACAGAGTTGTCGTGCCCATGTGAGGTCGCTGTGTCCATGAATCTGGTTGCCATGACGTTGCGCACGAGTGTGCCTAACCAGAGCCCGGCGTGGCAACTGTGGCTGAGCGCTCCTTCGCAGACCGATTGGCGTGACTGGTCACTCGGCCGACCGTCCCGTCTTGCCTCAATCGTCATGGCAATGCCGCCTCGGTTGAATGTCGCTGCCGCATGTGAAATCCTCTCTGACCCGCCACTAACCGCGACTGGCCGGTCACATTCACGCCGTGCGCCTGTTGGCACAAGCGCACAAATAGCATCCATCCTCTCTACCACATCCACCAGACCCACTTGATCCACATCATCCACATCATCCACATCATCTACATGATCCACATGATACACATTATCAAAATGAT